TGCAAACACGATCGAACTAATCCGACCGATTGGAACAACAATCCCAAGGTTGTATGGTTTACCCAAAGTACACAAAGCTGGAGTACCCCTCAGGCTAATTTTAGACATGTGTAGTTCCCCATATCACGCAATAGCCAAATGACTTGTGACAATTGTGGATGGTTCTATGCAGAGATCGATTTATAGGAAACCGACTTGGAGCGACCAGTATATCCATTTCAGAAGCTTTGTGCCACTTAAACGAAAAAGAAATCTTATTCAGTGTTTAGTATACAGGGCGGTAAAAATATGCACCGATGACACCATAAATGCAGAACTATCATTCATTCGAGATGTTTTCCTACAAAATGGCTATCCAGAACGTTTTATGGATAACTTCTTGCGAAATAACCGTCTGAGGGAAAGACTTTCAAGTGCAGAGCAGAAGGCAGTATACATTTCTCTCCCATTCAAAGCGGATGCAATCACAGAATTGGTTAACCGCAAACTAGGAACTGCGTTGGAGAATACTATTCACGCGGCAAAATGACGTATCGTATTCACGTCTAGACCGATTTTGTATTTGCAACTCAAAGACAGGATTCCTGCTTCTGTAGTCTCATGTTGTGTGCACCAGTTTACGTGCTTCTGTGGAGCAACGTATATCGGCCGCACGAGCAGGCACCTATCTACACGAGTTCGGGAACATCATCCGGCCTGGCTGAACACTGGTGTGATTAAAACAATTCCCACTTTTGTTTTTGATAATTGTCAGTATCTTTTAATCGGCCTATTAACTTCCTGTCTTCGCATGTCCACGTGTTCTAACTTTCCCTGCTCCGCCTTGTACCTACTGAAACACAAACACATACACATACGCGCACACATTAACACGTCATTCTCACTCATTTGCGAAAAATTTTCCACTCATTTGTATTCCAATTAGGAGAAAAAAGTGTTGGTAAACTAGTTACACTGTCTTGTGAACAAGTAAGAATCTCGCCTTCAAATCTATTTGTCTCCATACCCCATGAACATATATGATTTCCAAGTGTAATTCGCATGAAGTAACTGATGATATGCGAAAGAGATGTCGCTGCAGCAGACATCTTGCATAACACTACCGGCCGTTTTTCAAATTCATTCGGGCAAATCATTATTTCAAGTGTGAATGTGGTTCTGGGCTGTTCATGGGCTGGCTCAATACATACCCTCGACTAAATAGTGATTGGAATTCCGTTGAGTTTAGGTCTCCTCAGAACTTTATCTCTTTGCGGGAACGAATGCAGTTGTCTAATTTTTAGCACTCAAAGGCGCAAAAGCTTAAGAGTGACTAAAACACTTATTTACGGATTAGCATAAATTAGATTACCTTTAGCAAACCCCGGACTAATCACTGTGTTGTGCATAACATGCCAGCGGCAGACGCTCTGATATCTGGTGTCGAACATTTAACGTCAACATAACTGACCAGGCTATACCAGCATATTCGGTGCCCGCTTGGTAGGAAGCCAATGGTGTGACAATTGCAGTTAGCTTTTCCCCTCGAATCGCACACCACCCAAATCAAAGATGACTCCCCCTTTGTCCGCAATGAGGGTAAATCCAACTGATAGGGATTATTTTGACTAAACTGGAATAGATCCCAGTGTTTCGTAGGTTGCACCATTTGCACTTAAAGAGAAGCGAAAAGTAGAACGTAACGAACGATGACAAAACAAATTTGGTCCGATTCATCTGCGCAAAAATGCACAGAGATTTCTACAAACCGGATTGGTTCCGAGTGGAATAAGTAGGTTAAGAAATACGCCAGTGATTACGGAGGAGTTGAGTAATGATGAGAAAAGACTTGTGTCTTCAATCATTAAGCTCGGCTCAGATCACAGAACAATAGTCACTGGTCTCCACCTTTATTACAATCTTCCGTGGTACCACCCATCCGGGAAATAAGTTGCGTCCGCGGTGCTAATGAACCCTTACTCTCATTGTACACTCGGATTATTCACCATTTCCTCAGTAGAGGCAACTCCTCCTCACGCAAAAGAAAGTTGCCTATCAATATTAAGACAACCGAGAGTAGAGAGAGTACCTTACCTACCTCTATTTGATGCTCCATAGAGCACTCGGTACATAGTTATCATAGCTTCAGTGATCATGGACAACTTTAAGTCGTTCCGATCACCACCTGTTCCATTCACAAAGCCAGAAGGATAGCACAGATGTAATCAGGCTGTGAAAAGATGCCACGGGTTGATCAATGATGCAATAAGGATAAGAACTATGCGACGAAGCCGCNCCAGTATATCCATTTCAGAAGCTTTGTGCCACTTAAACGCACATTCCAAAATGGTTACTGGAAAAGGCAACCGGAAGCACCCGAAGCTCTATCACGAAACACATGAAGGAGACTGGCCACCGAGTGAATCTAACGGACGCATTCCGAATTGTATACCGTCCGAAACGACCCTACCAGCGAACTTCGCGAAAGCCGTAACCATACGAAGAACGAACCCGATTTTGTGCGCAGATGGCATGTTGTTGCCAGTGGCATTATGGATAGAATGAAATAGTCATCCCCGGAATTACAGAGAAAAAATATGATTTCTGTTAGCTAGTGACTGAGTTCAAATTGATCGTTCTACTGAGATGAACTGCTGCTAACTCTCACTGGATCCGAGTGTCACTGTTAATTATCTTGTCAAGCGTGTCTTTCAATGTCAGTTATACGTAGGCAATCACATTTGTTTCAAAGGTGTTACTGGTGTTATTTGGTGTGTGTGTGTGGGATTCACGGCCTTGATGAAATTTACTCACTGGGATGTTGATGGCCCAGAATGAATTCCCCCATGCAATGTTTCATTCCATCATCGATGCCTGAGCGTGGTGACCAATTATCGATCCATACTCGGCCAAACGAGGTCTATGAACACAGGGTTCAATCAAACCTTCAACCCCGCTCGGTAACTCACCCAAAAAGTACTCCTGTTTGTTTATGGAGAAATTAGTTCATTCAGACTAGACGAGGTTTAGACAGGCAAGTTCCAGTCGGTAACGTTTGACGGCCGAAAGACCAATCATCCTGTGAGGTTCCTAGTTGAATGTGATTGGTTGGATTTACTTGAAGTTGAAAGGGTATAGATCCATGAAATGCATCACGAAATCAAAATCGAACCTCCACTACGTTCTGAATGCAAAAATACTCCCGCTATTGTTCACATATTATAATGGTGGCCATGAAAAAATGAACAAACACTGGATAAAAAAATAGGACAGCAAAAGGACACTCACTCCTGTGGTATGCCTCTTTGATTTTCCGTATTTGCTCGTTGTTACGCGATGCCAATATCTCAATTAGTGTATCTTCATCCGTTCCAGCGCCTTTCATAGCTCGACGTAACTCCCGTGCATCGAAGTCTTCCGGGGAGAAGCACAGAGCTATGATAGCATCCTCGAAGTGACCGGTCAGCTCAGACTTGAGCTCGCTGATTAGATCTTTGCCATACATGGTTTTGAACTGCCGCACTATCTCCACACGCTGACTCGCGGTCCGGTGACCCATCACCTCGATGATAGCCTTCTCGTCCGTGCCCAAACCTTTCATGGCTTTTCGCAATCTCTGACAATCCTGCTCCGCATTGAAACCGGGGAACGGTTTCAGCGTCGGGCTAAGCTGGATGGTAGATGAGGCAAACCGATTAGTTTATTGCTAAGTGTATCGACAACAAGGATTTCAAAAATGTGGATCTCATTCTCTAATGTTTATGATGGAAAAGAATGATTTCAAAAAAGCTTCTCCTAAAGGTAACATAAGCTACGTCCTCCACTTGCCTAACCCCCTACGTCATTATAAACAAAAGGGAATTTCATGTAACTTTAATTTTGTTTTAATATTCCAGCGAAGAGCAAAAAAACGCGCTTGAAAACGAAATGTGATTTGGCCATGCAAACTTANCATATGACCAGGGCCTCCCATGGGACCAGGACCCCCCATGTAACCAGGGCCTCCCATGGGAGCGGCACCCTGCCCCATAGGTGCAGGTCCTGGATACCCACCCATTTGCATTCCCGGTTGAGGACAACCTGGTTGATATCCTCCACCATAGCCTGGGTAAGCATCAGCACCACCGCCAGGATAGCCAAATTGTCCCGGAGCACAATAACCCGGCGCTTGACCTGGAAAACCTCCACCTGGGTAACCAGGTTGAAAACCTTGTCCACCAGCAGGTTGCTGACCTCCTAGATTCCATGCTCCCATATCATTCGGATTCGGATACATGGTATTAGTTTGTGAAAATTCACGACAAACACTATCCTCCTGGTTAGTGTTGTCTCGCTTGGCTTAAAACATTACCACTATCTGGTCAGCCTATATAACCTAGGTAGCTGATTGGTTCTGTCAAGGCCAACGCGTGGGACTGGATTGGTAGACAAGAAAAAACGGCTTAGTTAGACCAATCAGAGGAGCGAAGAATGCGCGCACCAATTAATCTGATGATCGATTGTATACCGATCGACAGGTATGTCTCACAATGACCAGGTGTAGTTATGCAAACGAATAGAACAGATGCAAATCTGACTCACCACATCACCGGAATTGGAGCTGGCCATTTTGATAGAGCTTTGAAATAGCTGAAATAAATAAATAAGTAAATATCACAGATGTATGAATAGACAATTATCGCCTAGAAAAGTTTTATATCCCAATGACTCATCAGAAGCTGAATAGGGCATCGAAATAAAATGCAGACGTTGGACAGCAAGCTGGTGCATATTTTTAACCGGCATAAAGCAAACGTTACCGTCGCTGACGTAATCAACACAAACAGGCCGGTCAACCTACCGACGTCGAGTCAAGGCGCAATGATTACAAATGGTTGGGTATGCATAAATAATTGTGGCTTGTATGCATCTGCGTGTGTGTGTGTGTGTGTGTGCGTATGTGTGTGTGCGTGGATGGATTGGTAGTCACTTTACATATGACATGTCCTGCGGTCAACCAATCACAGGCGATCGGTCTTAATGGCGATGCGTGCGAACTCCAGTGAAGACCAATATGCAATCGAGTTTATGATGCACACTTTTGCGCCCAGCGCGTTGTTCGTGACTTACTGTTAGTAACATAGCTGGACTATATTGAGCAAATCTATCGCTGATCAGTTCGAACGAAACGATCAGAGAATTGTGTGAAACCGTCTCGGTTACCACTGGCTG